GTTACACCAACCCGCATAGCATCCCACCCAGACCCATCACCTCCCCCGCTCCCCCCACCCCATCCACCTAATCTACACATCCCTGAACACCACGGGCAATTTAGCATGGCCAGTCCACCTCGTCTGCACATCTTTGGACTGTGGGAGGAAACCGGAGCAGCTGGAGGAAACCCGCACAGACATGGGGAGAACGTGCAAACTCTACACAGTCAGTTGCCCAAGGGTGGAATCAAACCCAGTTTCCCAGTGCTGTGAGGCAGCAGCGCTAACCACTGAGCCACTGTGCCACGATTATGGTTTAAGGCCTGTGCTCTCAGCACCTTGCCGTATTTCTGCATTGAAAGACTTGCAGCCAACGTTCATCTTCTGTGCACTATGGGTATATCCTGAAAGGATGAAATTATAAATGTGATAGTGATTTCAAAGGCAGTGCTACCTGATTTGTCATCAAAGAGGTGATTTTGCTTTTGTTGGCTTTGGCATGAAAATAAATAAAGATCTCCTCACACTGATCCCATCAAACACTTCTGGGACAGGGACAACAGGGGGTTAAAATAAAAGCTGCTTTAGTTTGTTCAAGGGTTTCTACACAAGAGGCCTCCTGTAGCCTGACTTCCTCACAGTCCCTCTATACCCAGTGGCACAGTAGTTATCACTGCTGCCTCACAACACCAGGGACCCGGGTTCAATTCCACCCTTGGGCAACTGTCTGTGTGGAGTTTACACGTTCTCCCCGTGTCTGTGCGGGTTTCCTCCCACAGTCCAGATGTGCAGGGTAGGTGGATTAGCAATGCTAAATTGCCCATAGTATTCAGGGATGTGTAGGTTAGATGGGGATGGGTCTGTGTGGGTTGGTGTGGACTTGTTGGGCCAAAGGGCCTGTTTCCACACTGTAGGGATTCTACGATGACCCTATTACCCTTTTGCTTGCTCTGGCTGTAGAACACCTGGCTTGTACTGTGCCTATCACAATTTAAGGTACCTGGTTTACGGCTCAGTTGTGGTCAGTGCCAGCATCTTGCATGTTTAATTTATACTGTGGCCTTCGCGTAGAGCAGCTGCCCTCGTAACAACCAGCTCAGGCTGAACATGCAAGATACCAGGCAATGTTGACAGTTCGGGTTCGAAGGACCTTTAAAAGGTAACTTCAAACCAAAGCCTCTTAACAGGGAGGCCAAATGTTGTCTTTGTCTCTGCTTAAAACAATTTAGACAACTCTGACCAGAATGCTACAAGTGAATTTGCCCAGGTATCCACAATACCAAAACAGTCAAATCAATACAAACATATGCTGGTACCAAAGCAAAACAGTCCCATTTTATTAGGAACAAAAATTACAATAATCTTTAATATTAAACATACTATCCCTAATCCTATTTGGTCCCTTAAGATTACAATACTTCCTGAGTCTCTTGTAAATTTATGTAGTCACTCTCTCTGTGGCTCTATCTCTGGGTCTGCAAAGCTACTTTCTTCCTCTCTTTCTCCTGGATGGTCAGCTGGTCTCTGCCTTTTGCCGTGCTAGTCTCCTTGGAAGGCCTCATGATTCCAGAGATTCCAGGAGCGGTTCCCCGAGAGAGGTGTGCAGGTGAACTCTCTTTTTTGATTCCTTTTTAGATGGTTTTCTGGAACTTTCTGTAGTTCTGGCCAATCAGAGAAATACGCTTAATAGCTTGAAACAAATGTCAATCATTTACACTGCATGCTACTGTTAGTATCTTCGTGTAGCAGAACCCAATGCCTTTCTGTCTCGGCTCTCCATTGTTTGGTGGATAAGGTGTTGGGGCCATTCCAGGACATGAATACAAAAATAAAGGCTGACACATCCATGTTTTTCTGACAGAGTTCTATATTGCCAGAGGTTCTGTCTTTCAAATAAGATGTTAAATCAAGGCCCTGCCTACCCTTTTAGGTGGACCCAAAAGGTCCCATGGCTCTATTTTCAAAGAACAGCAGGGTTCCAGTGTCCTGATCAATATACATCCCTCAATGTAATACAGCAGATTATTTGGTCAATCAAGATTGCAATCTGTGGAGGTTTCCTGAGTGCCATTTGGCTGCTGCATTTCCTTCATTGCAATAGTGACTATATTTCAAACATTCTTCATCGACTGCAGATCGCTAAGATGTCTGGTGATCATGGAGGGAGCTCGATGCAAGTCTTCCTTTATTTCCTAATTTCATTACGTCAATTTACCTATGGTTCTGATTGCAGTCTAGAGATTGAAATCTTTTATTGTTTCATTTAATTCCTAGCTCTGGCATTCTGCAAACAGGCGTCTTCTGTGCTGTACTATTCTAAGGTTCTGTTCTATCTTGATGACTATAGATAACTCATAAATTAATTGCTTCCTGTTGTTTGGGCACTATAATGCTTTTCTTAACTTTATTTCTCAGTTTTTTCTAACTATACCATGAATAACTGTAATTAATGTAACTTTTTTCTTTATTGTCCTCTTTTATTTCTTTGTATCTAAGTTCTGTACCTAGGTATTTTGTACCTAAGATGGCACCACATGGGGTGACATTGCAAACTTGTCACTACTCTTGCACTTCTGTACTTGAGTACACATGACAATAAAGGATATTCTAATCCCTACCTCTTTAGGTAAAATGACACAAAAGACTTTGTTTGGTCTAGTATGGTACAAGAAAACCACTCACTGGCCTCTTGTATTGAACAAGAAGCAGTTTATTGCACATTAGAAACTATTTACAATTACATTAGGCATTATATGGAAACTATGAGGAGGACCTGGATGTTAGGTGTTTCTCCATATTGATTCTTCTAAGGTTTTCTGCTCACAATTCACATTACATCATCATTATAGATTATGCTTAAGGCATTCCCTTTCAGACACTCACCATTGTACAAATTCAAAATGAAAAGCTTCAACAAAACGCATCTCTTTTTACAGCAATAAGTTCTGTACTACTAAATAACTACCTTCTCCCACACTTTGTTCTCCTAACCAAAGACGGGTGCTGGAGTTCATGTATTTTGTTACACCTAAATATAACTCACTCATTCGCAGCTCTGGCATTCCCTCCCCAAATCTCTCTGCCTCTTCACTCCCTCTTCCCTTAAGGTACTGTGCACCTTCTGTGTCTGTGCATTTCATCATTCTATTTCCTCCTGAAGTTTGTTTAACTGCACTTAGGAATTTCATGTCACCTGCTAACTTGCAATTTGCCCTGTTTACTTCAGTGCCGCTTAGTGTTGCATATCAAAACATGAATGATCCAGGCACCAAACAAACTCCACTGTTTCACTAAAGTCTGAAATATAATTATTCAGCATAATTCTCATCTAATAATTGTTTATTAAATTCTCTCCTATTTAAGGAAAGTTGGCAAATTGTGGCAAAAAGCTTCTACAATATCCAAGCACACCACCTTCAGGAACTTAAGAATATGTAAGGTGACTTCTCCACTGTTCTATTTTCATCCTATCCAATTTCTCCACTAACTTTTACCTGCAGTATAGCACAACATCGTGGGCCGAAAGGCCTGTACTGTTCTGTTTTCTATTCTGTGACACTGGCAGTATCATCATCTTTGACAAATAGGATTTACCCATTTAGTACTCAACCATACTCCAAGTTCTTTTTTATTGTACTAAATAAAAACCGAAAGAACTGCAGATGATGTAAATCAGGAACAAAAACAAAAGTTGCTGGAAAAGCTCAGCAGGTCTGGCAGCATCTGTGAAGGGAAAAAACAGTTAACGTTTCAGGTCTGATGACTCTTCCTCAATTCTGAGTTACCCCTTTTATTATTTTTGTGTTATTGTGCGTCCTGGCAAGATGGCGGCAGAGCAGGATGCTCCACCTGCTCTTTTTTCTTTCTTTTCATTTTTTCCTCTCTTATTTTAGCAGTCCTGAAGCAGTGTTCATGGAAGGAGTCCCCAGAGCAGCGTGAGGGAAAACGAGAGTCCTGGAACTGCACAACTTATCTTGGTGCAGCTGAGTGTCTGGTGGAGTGGACTGGAGACTTGGAGCCGAATGGGACTGTTATTGGACTGGGGGCCTGGCGTGGGTGGTCAGACCACATGTTTGCTAAGCTGCTGCAATGTAATGTCTATCTGAAATTCTTTATCGGACTGTAATGTCACTCCTATAACAATGCTAATAACTACCTTTACTTCTAACTTATTTTTTAGACACTAATGCTACTACTTTTCCTTTTTATTCCTCCTTTTGTATACAAAATTTTTGTACCTAGGTCCTTGTACCTACGATGGCACTTTTGAAGCAGCCATTGTATAAAAAAAACCTTTCACTGTCCTCCTGTACTTTGTACTGGCCTGCACGTGACAATACAGGGTGCTCTATTCTGTTCTATCCATATGTAAACTCACTTGCCCTTATTTCTTTTGCAGCTCCTTTTTTTTATTTGAACTATTCAGTTTGCTTCTCCCCTGCAATATTTATTATAAGCTGCCTTTCTTGCTTTGGTAAAAGAGAGAATGCTAACTTTAGATGCACACATATTCCCTCTGAAAATCTGAGATGTCTGAAGACAAATTATCTTCTCTTTGAAAGCCTCCAACTGTACCTTTCTTTTTTTAACCAGCTAATCCTTGATCTTGATCTTGATCTAGCACAGCCAGACCTCTTTACAACTCATTCGAGTCACTCCTCATCCATTTGAGTAGTTCCACGTTCCATATTTTTCCATTACTATTCTAAACCTAAGGATATTATGACCACTGTTTTCTAAGTTTACCTCTGCAAAAACATGCTACAATCAACACCCCTCATTCCCCAGAGCTAGATCCAGCATGTCTTCCTGCCATACAAAACCAAAATAATACTAATGCTGGAAATCTAAAATAAGAGCAGAAAATATTGCAAATACACTGTGAACAGGCTTTCTAAGAGAGGGGTTTCCAGCCTGTCCACCTGAGGTTGGATGGGGAATGCATCCCCACTGATCACAGCAGTCCACAGTTGTTTAACACCATGTTTATTGGCAGAAGATAGGACTTTTGCCCTTGCTCGGAGGAAGTCTGACTACAATTGCTGGCCAATGTCATTGGCCAACAGCTCTGCAATAAGAGTAAACCCTGTGTCAGCAGTGGCCAGGACTCGCATTTGAAGTCCAAGAGACCAGGAACAGTTAAGTGTGAGGAAGATATTTTCTCATGGCTCACATGGCTGTGAGTGAAGGTGAGGCCCAGCAGAGATGGGGACAAGGGAATGGTGGTCTTAATGGAGAGGTGGAGGTTAGGTGGGAGGCAGTACCCACAGGGGTCTGACCTGGAGTGTTGCCCGCTATGGAAAGATAGCACTAGTGGGTGGCCTGTCGGTTTTCCCCTTGAACTGGAACTCCTTCCACTAGTCATAAGGTACTCTTACCAAGATCTGTGCGTTTGCAGATTGTATTAATGTTATTAACACTGCTTTTCTTTTATTGACAACATAATATATCAGTGAGTAAGCTTAAATTTAACATGGAGATTGGCATAATATCAATAATCTGCTAGAACTTCACGCAGTTTGTCTATAATGCTGATCAAACCATGCTTCTGGCCAATTCCAAATTTCTAAGTTGTCAAAAATTCTTTGGCTTTTTGAGCAGCATTGCAAGAATCATTAAATTTATAACCAAAGACATCCACAGCTAGCTGCAAATCTTCAATGTTTTTGGCATTTGGCATACTTTGGAGTTCAGAAAATTTAGTCACACTTTATGTTGTGCAGCATGTAGCACAGTAAGTTTTCATCCGGTGCATCCACCTGGACATCATGCAGTAACCTACCCATGTTTTGCCATGAATGTTGATTCAAAAACTTGCAACGAGGAATGGTAATTTTTATATACATTGACAAGAGGTTATATACAACCTTACAGAGCAACACTTTTTGAGGAAGTCATGGAGTTATGGATCTTGACTTTGGCTGCTAATTTGAAATGGAAGTCTATTTTAAACATTTCCATATAGTTAGAGTCAAAGAAAATGAAAATCAGATTAAGTCAACATCTATATTCATTTTGCTTAATCCAACATTATAGACTGAATTTTGGTGGAGAAAGTCATCTGGAGGATCTTTTCGACCTGGAAGTACACTCCTTTTAAAGGGTTAGTTCTTGCCATTTTTTCATCCCAATGGCCAATGTCTTCGAAATTCACGGCCTCATCACCTGAAATTTCAAGATTCATTTTTGGATTATTTCCATGTAAAGATTTTCATTATCAGGACAATTTCCAAAGATCCTGACTGATTTAGCTAATGTTATTTAATAAATATAGGTGGAAATTAGATATTAATCTGTCGTGCTGCTATAATCAAATCAAAAGCAGAACCAGCACTATCTTGAGTTTATAGAGGAGCAGAGTGATGACTTGCAAAAGGTTCTTGGCTCAACAGTTTGGAGCAGAAGTGCTCACAAAGTACAAAGGCAATGCAAACCCAGATTTTTTTTTTCTTTATTCATTCACAGGATGAAGGCCAGCATTTATTGCCCATCCCTAATTGCTCAGAGGGCAGTTAAGTCAACCACATTGCTGTGGATCTGGAGTCACATACAGGCCAAACCAGGTAAGGATGGCAGTTTCCTTCCCTATAAGGCCATTAGTGAGCCAGATGGGTTTTTCCCAGCAATTGACAATGGATTCATGGTCATCACTAGATTCTTAATTCCAGGTATTTACTGAATTCAAATTCCACCATCTGCCATGGCGGGATTTGAACCCAGGTCCCCAGACCGTATTGTGGGTCACTGAATTAACAGTTCAGCAATAATACCACTAGGCCGGCTGGGCATGTGAGATAAGGGTAGTTGGAAGGAACATCTGTTGCTCCCCAGCAGCTAATATCATCCAACCCATCTGAGAGCCAACCACCCAGAGCTAAGGAGGAAAAGTCTTAGAGAACATTTTAGGTACTTTCATCTTCCAGTTTCCCTGGCCCCCCTATCCAGAGGCCTCATTTATGGCGCATGCCTAAGTGATCTTGCACAGTTGCAGGCACTACAGTTACAGATAGGCCTTCAGCAGTCATCTGTACAACTGGCACATTATTCACTGCTTTTTTAGTTAGAAAAATAAACAGCTTGCTTCCACTTGCACAGGGCCAACAAGCATGCATGATAACAGGGCACCATGTCACCTTGTTTATTGAAGGGTTCACAGTCGCTTCATTTAGTTTCACAATGCTAATCATTGGATTCATCCAATACAAAAACGCAGTATGAATTCTCCAGATTAGTTACGATGGTATCACAGTCGTGTAAACCCACAGACTATTACCAATGTCAATGGAGATTGCAGTAAATAGTCCATTGCTTAATGATGGTACGAGTACAAAGGGTGTAATCAACATGTCCACCAGTGGATGGTGATGTCTTCATTTCGACGCTCACGTAGGGTCTGTTTCCGTGCTGTATGACTCTTCAGTCTAACCAGTCCCTGCTAAACAATCCCAAACTGAACTAGTTCCACCTGCCTGCTCCTGGCCCATATCCCTCAACTTTTCCTATTCATGTACTTATCCAATGTCTTAAACATTGTAATTGTGCCCACATCCGCCAGTTCCTCAAGAAGTTAATTCCACATGTGAACCATCTTCTGTGTAAAAAATCTGCCCTTCGTCTTTTTTAAATCTGTCTTCTCTCACCCTAGTGCCCCTTTGTCTTGAAATCTCCGATCCTCTATTAACCCATCATGATTTTATAAACTTCAAGATGGTCACCTCTCAACATTCTATGCTCTAGTGATAAAAATCCCAGCCTGTCCAGCCTTTTTATAACTTAAACCTCTACACCCTGTAACATCCTGGTAAATCTCCTCTAAATCCTCTCCAGCCTAATAATAATCTTCCTACAACTGGGCAACCAGAACTGAACACAGTACTTTGGAAGAGGCCTCCCCCACGTCCTGTACAACCTCAATATGACTTCCCAACTCCAATACTCAAAGGACTGAGCAATGAAGGCAAGAGTGCTAAACGCATTTTTAACCACACTGTCTATATGTGATGCAAACTTCAAAGAATTATGTACTTAAGTCCCTCTTCTATAACACCCCCAAGGCCCTACCATTTGTTTGTTGTACCAAAATGCTATACCTCACATTAATTGAGATTGAGCTGAAAATGACAGATGGAATTCATTCATTCATTTCATCAAGATCCCTTTGTAATCATAGAAAACCTTTATCACTGTCTTCTTTGCTACCGATTTTGGTGCCATCCACAAACTTACTAACCATGCCTCCTCTATTCTCATTCAAATCATTTATATAAATGATGATTACATTATCAACTTTATATGTAGAAAAGAATATGGGACTACATTCTCAGAATTTAGCGAGGTCAGATGAAATCACCTGCTGCACTTCTTTTGATGACTAAAAACGTGTGTGTGTGTGTGTGTGTGTGTGTGTGTGTGAGAGAGAGAGAGAGAGAGAATGATATCTGCTGGTGTAGGGATGGTGGCTGTTTTGGAGATTCTGAAACCACGAGCAGTCACGCTGAAGAACCCCTGACCGTAGCTAGAGCTGCGATTTGCATTGGTTGTCAGTTAGAGTTTCCCACTTGTGCTGATTGACATTGAGGACTTTCATCTCTCTTTTGACAGGATCCCATAATCAGAGCTTTAGGTGGCCTGCTGTTATCTTAACCTAAACTACCTCCCTGTTACAGCATATCCTCACAGCGCCAGGGACCCAGGTTCAATTCCACCCTCTGGCGACTGTCTGTGTGGCGTTTACACATTCTTCCTGTGTCTGTGTGGGTTTCCTCCCACAGTCCAAAGATGTACAGGCTAGGTGGATTAGCCATGCTAAACTGCCCATAATGTTCAGGGATGTGTAGATTAGGTGGGTTTATAGGGGAATGAGTCTGGGTGGGATGCTCTGTGTGTTGGTGTGGGCTTGTTGGGCCGAAGCACCTGTTTCCACACTGTAGGGATTCTATGAATAAAAAATCCTTGTGATATGGCCATTGTCCATTCTGTGAACCTGCCCAAACTATAGAAGATTTCTTTGCTTATTTAACACCAGCATGATTGGCATATTTGCCCTGGAAAGGATAATTTCATTGGTGACTGTATGACATATCTTTGCAATCAGACACCCAAGATTGTAGTTAATAAGCTTTTTCTCTTGGTAGGTATACAGGTTTCACGGTCATATAGCAAACTGCTTGTGAGACAAGCTTTATAAATAAGCATCTTGGCCTTGAGATTAGTTTGTTGGTTTTTCTGTGCTTGTCTTGTTAATCAGCTGAAGTTGGTAGCTGCCTTTCCATTGTGTATGTTGAGTTCTTTATCAAGGGACAGTCTGTCTACTACCAAAGTTGCAAGGTAGAGAGATTTGCTGTCTACCTCCAGTGGGGTTTTGTCAAATTTGATCAAAGCAATATTTTGTCTCACAACTACAGTTTATGACAATTATGAGGGAGCAAATGGTACAGGGCATGGGAAAAATGATCCCTAAGTCACCATCCATGTTTTATTCATCTTGCTCATTCTGTGATAACCAAAGCATGAAACACTGATCCAATTCTTGGGTTAAAGGCCCTCGAGAGAAATAACTTTTCTCCACGTACAGATGTTCCAGAATGTCACCTCAGTGTCAGAGGTGAGAACTTTGCCTTCAGCAGCGGCACCTAAGGTTGGCACATAATGATGTATAGATAATTTGTTAATTGTTGTCTCTGTATATTCCTTCCTCCTAAATATCATAGAATCTCTAGTGTAGAAACAGGCCATTCAGTCCAATAGTCCGCCCTGACCCTCTGAAGAGCATACCACCCAGACTCCTCCCTCTACTCTTTCCTTGTAACCCCACATTTCCCATGGCTAATGCACCTAACCTACACATCACTGAACACTATTGGCTAGGCTAAATTGCCCATCAACTTGCACATCTTTGGACTATGGGAGGAAACCGGTGGAAACCCACACAGACACAGGGAGAAAGTGCAAACTCCACACAATCACCCGAGGTTGGAATTGAACCCTGGTCCCTGGTGCTGTGAGGCAGCAGTGCTAACCACTGCGCCACTGTGTTGTCCCCTTCAACTCCATGTTACCATATAATCAATGTACAACTTCAAATGCTGACCAATCTATATAAATTTTAACCCTTTTTTCCAAAGGCCCTATTTCTTCTCACCAACAGACCAGAAGATGTAGATGGTCACTATCTACAACTGCGATGGTACTGTCCACCTATAGATTACCTTGCTCAATAACCTTGTCTTAACAGAAACTGTTGTAATTAAGAATTAACAAGTACTTAGACAGAAATGATTTAACTACTGAATCAAATGAATTTAAAGACCTTACAGCTTTCTTTCCTTAAACTGCATCCTGCATGCAAATTGTGGCTATTTCTCATTATTCTTAGTAATTGTCCCATATTCTCAAAACAAACCATATTTACTGTTTCTATCTTCTCATGAATCTTAGAAGTCACCCTTACTTATTCTTAACCAGAGATCAAACAATGCTGTTTGATCATAGCACTAACATCTTTTAACATGTTTATCCTTCACACTTTTAGACATTTCACAGTTCTACATACAAATAAATCAACCAGTTCCCTTTATAATCTACATTTTGTGTATGTTTTATTTAACTTCATCCTTTATTGCTGCTATTTTTCTCTGGCTGATCTCCAAGAGCTTGTTTGCTCTATAGAAATGACGAATAAATGAAGGAGTCTCCTTTTGCTCCATGATTCATATATTTTACCTACCTATTGGCCTTTCCTGACCACATGGCTTTGGTATCACTGTTCCACTAGTGGCTCCTGAAGAATCTGACCTCTCTGCATGACTGTTTGGCTTTTCTCACCAAATGCTCTCCTGCCTGCCTAGCGTGGTTCTGCCTGTGGTCTCAAGTCCTCCTCCAGATTCTTTGCATCTTGTCCACATCTGTCCAGTGTTCCAAACACCTAAACTCTTTGTTTTAACCACAGATAGTAAATTAAAACACTCGCCCAAGTTCCGTGTCGGGACCATGGATGTAACATAACTTCCTGTGTGGATGCCAAACTCTTGAAGGGGTTTAACTTTACCAATTGTTAGAGGGCTCCAGGTGAACGGGAAAGGATCATTTAGTTCATTCGCTCGTATGGAGAGATGCTTTAAAGCAGAAGGTCAAAGCTCACTCTGTTGAGTTACAGAACACCTTCAAGCTTTCCACAAATTGCAACATGCACATTATTAAGGCTACACTTTAATATTCACATATCTCATTATCTTTGTTTGCCCTAGTCATTGTAGGCATTACCTGTTCCTTACCCAAAGACTTTGACAGCATAGCTTCTGGCTACTAACCTTAACAGTGATAGAGTCATAGAGCTTTTATACCTCAAAGAGGCCATTCACCTCATCATGCTCACACTATCCATCAAACATGCATCTAGTCCAAAGTAAAAGCAGAAATTGCCAGAAAAACTCAACAGGTCTGACAGCATCTGTGGAGACAAAACAGAATTAACATTTCAGGTCCGGTGACTCCTCTTCAGGTGTCTGAGAGTGGCCTGATGGTCCAGCAGGAATGTGATGCTTTTACCTCTACAAATAATTCTTAGATGTGTTGAGGGCTCCTGTCTATGTCACTTTTTAGACAGTGAATTCCAGATACCAATAACCCTCTGGGTGAAAATACATTTTCCTCCAATCCCCTCTAGCTCTCCCAATCTTTACTTTAAAACTATGTTCACTGATATTTGACTCCTCCACTAGGGAGAAGGGATTCTCCCTGTCCACTGTGTCTAAGCCCCTCAAAACTTTGAACATCTTATTCATAACCCCTCTGTCTTCTCTGCTCCATGTAAAACAACCTTAGCCTATCTAGATCCTGGTGAATCTCTTCTGCACCCTCTCTAGTGTAATTACATCCTTCCTATAGTGCGATAACCAGAACTGCGCATAGGCCATAACTGGAGCACTAATGTTATATAAAGCTTCATCATAAGCCCTTCCTCCTGCCTTGACTAATCCTATATGCTTCTTAACCACCTTATCAACTTGTCCTGCTGCCTTCAAGGATCGATGGACATACATATTAGGGTTCCTCTGGTCCTCTGCACTTTTTAGGGTCCTACCATTGAAACCATACTCCCTTGCCTCGTTAGTCCTCCCAAAATGCAGCACCTCTCAATTTTCAGGATTAAATACCATTTTCCATTGTTCAGCCCATCTGACCAGCCTGTCTATATTGTCCTGTAGAGTAAGGCTTTTCTCTTCGATATTTAGCACAGCACCAATTTTTGTGTCATCTACAAACTTACTGATCACACATCTTACATTCACATCTATTTCATTAACAGCAAGGGAATGAAATAGCATAACCAGCACTGAACGCTGTTGCATGCCACCAAACACAAGCTTCCAGTCACAAAAACACCTTCAACCATCACCCTCTGCTTCCTGCCATTAAGCCAATTTTGTATCCAATTTACCAAACTCACCTGGATCCCAAAGACATCAGCTTCTTAACCAGTATGCCAATGCAATGTACACTTCATCAACTGTACCACCCTCATATACATCTAACTACATCCTTGAAAGATCCAATCAAATTTGTTAGATATAATTTCTCCCTTAGAAAGCCATGCTGACTATCCTTGATTAATCCTTGCCTCTTCAAGTGGACTTTAATTTTGTCTCTCAAATGTTTGCAATAGTTTCCTTACTAGATGTTAACCTGCAGTTCATTAGTTTATCCCTGTCACCCTTCTTGAGTAATTGTACCACATTAACTGTCCTTCAGTCCTCTTACTTTCCTTCTGTGGCTACACAGGACTTGAAAATTAATGTCAGAGCCCCTGAAATGTCCTCCTTTGCCTTCCACAGCAGTCTTGAATCTCTCTCACCTGGCCATGGGGCTTTATTCACTTTCAAGACTGCTAAAACCACTAATATCTTCTCCTTAATGCTAATTTGTTGAAGTACGTTACAGTCGCCTCCCAAATTTCGAGACCTACTTTGTCCTTTTCTATTGTGAATAGATGCAAAGTACTCATTTAAAAATTTTGGCTATGTCTTCTATCTCTACACACAGATTGCACCTTTGGTTCCTAATAGGTCTCTTTCCAAGGTTATTTTCTTGCCCTATATACTTATAAAAAGTCTTTGGACTTTCCTTATTCCTACCCACCAGGGTGTTTTCAACACCCCTCTTTGATCTCCTAATTTCTTTTAAAGCAACCCTCTGCACTTTACATTTTCTTTTAGCCAACCTGTTCAGAGATATTATTGCACCCCACTGGGGCAGGTGGGACTTGAAACTAAGCCTCCAGAGCCGTCAAGCGGTCAGACAGGAGGAGTAGCTAGACACACTTCCAGCATGTGGAGGAGTCTGGGACATCGTTAGGGTCCCTGAATTCCCACATCTCACAGGAGGAGCATGACATGGGTCTGGGATCTCCTGCCATGACTTTATCTTTATGTTAACAACAGTAGCAAAGCAAGGTGAAAGTAACAGAGATGCTAAATTACTCAGCAGGCACTAGCCATTCACTTACCTGCTGCCTGTGACTTCACAGTTAAACTTTCTTCTACTTCTCCTTTACCCTTGTGTCTTCAGCAGCTGCAGTTGTTCGCTCCTCCACCGACTGCCTCACCTTGCTCACTCTCCTCACCGAAGCCCAGTATTCACTTAAGCCTACATCTAAACTTCCAGCATTTCAACTACAAAGCTACCTTTCTCAAAATGGCTGCTCTGCTATAACTTGCCCTCCTTTTATTCACTCCTGAGCACTGACTGAGATGACTCCTCCCTGAATCTTTCTCAGCAGCACTCTCTGTTAGCAAATTGCATAGAATCAAGGCAGTTATGTAGGCTGGAATTGACATGAGCCATGACTAACCTCGCGAAGCATTTCATAATTATGGAGGTCACAGCCACCGGGAGGCAATCATTGAGGCACGCTGCATAATTTTTCTTTGGCACCAGGTAAATGGTGGTCTTCTTGAGGCAAGTGGGAACTTCAGATCGTAGTAAGGAGAGGTTAAAGATGTCTGTGAATGTTCCCGGCTACTGGTTCGTACGGGGATCTGAGTACATAGCCTGGGACCCCATCGAGGTCAGTCGATTTCTGTGGTAAAATAAAACTCCTCTTGGTGCCTCTGATGGCTTTACCAAGGTTGTATCTGGATTTTCTGTATAGGTCATTGCCAAGAGGCAGCACAGGCCATCTAGGGGGTGAGGCTGTCTGGTATGGATGGTGATCAAGGAATGTGGAGTCAGGGGCGCAGTCCTGGAGGAGCACTCTACCTGGTTTACTACCACAGACCAGGGTTTGCCAGGTTCCCTTGCAGAGGAAGTTCACAAGTGTCCGTTGGTGCACTCAGCAGAGTATCGGACATAGGGTGCCTTCGAAATATCAAAGATAATGATTAAAACATCAATATTAAAATAAAAATCCCGGGAAGGTATCATTTTCAGTCCTGAAGAAGGGGAATACCCGAAACGTTGATTGCTCCTTTCCTCCAGATGCTGCCTGGCCTGCTGTGTTCTTCCAGCCTCCTATTGTCTAACTTAGATTCCAGCATCCGCAGATTTTTTGTGTCAAATTTTGTTTTTATTGACGGTTAACTTACATTTTTGAAAAAAAAAGCTTGAACCATCGCTAATAGCCACAGTTGACTTGTCATGGCATTACAGAAGAGGGAACGTCCTTTACCATCTGAAACGAGATCAGACTTCGGATCAGCGACTACACGATGAATAAAATTCAAAACAGCGATAGAGCGCTTCCGTCAGTTTCCACTTGGGCCACCATAACCTGCTGCATTGTGGGATATTCGGACGTGAAAACGCGCTGGAATTGGAAAAGGTGTCGGTCTTTCACGTAACGGGGTTGAGAAACATCATTGGCGGGTGTCAACAATAACCTCGTCTCTCTACGAGGTTCGTATGCGGTCCAGTCGTTGCTGGCGATTTAAATTCAGTTCGACGTGCTTTGGGGGCAACATTAGTAGGAGCGAAGGTGTGGATTTCGGGACCGGAGCGGACCGGAGGTTAGAGGGGGTGGCGTTGCAGGGTTGGTTTGGGTCGCGCCCAGAGGACAGGACGAGTTCATGCGAAGGGAGATACAAACAAGATCAACAGTTCCTTTTAGAATTTTTGGGGTAGGGGCGTGCGCGGGGGAAAAATAGAAGTTGGATATATACAGATCAAACTATAGCATCCCTACAATGAGAGCAGACCATTTGGCCCATCGAGTCCACACCGATCCCCCGAAGAGCATTCCGCCCGGACTCCACGCCCCTGGACAATATGGACAATTTAGCATAGCTAATCCAGATAACTTGCACGTTTTTGGACTGTGGGAGGAAACCGGAACGTCAGTAGGAACCGACACGGGGCGAATGTGCAAACTCCACACAGATAGTCCCCTGAGGCTGGAATCGAACCCAGCGTTTGAGGCAGCAGTGCTAACCACTGAGTTGCTGTGAAATCAATAAGTATGTTTTGTGCAGTGATATGTAGCGATGTGGAAGTACTTCCCGAAAAGGATTCGAGAGTAGCTTTTAGATGGGAGTCGGATAAAAATTTGGAAGAGGAAAATTCTGCAGAAAGTTTGAGGAAGCAGGAGTAATTGGGTAGGTGGCCCTTTTAAAAGAGCTGGCAGAGGCATGGTGGATTAAATATCTTGTGTGGTTCAGTAAAAGGGTGAGCGAGTGATATTTTGGAGGTGTTGCACGCTCCTGAGTCAAAATGTTGGAAACCCCTCTCCAGAACATATGCATAATCTCAGCTGCGATCTACATTGGTCTGCACCGTCAAAAAGACAGATGGTCAAATGAGGGAGTGATTCAACTGGATGGAAAACAAACCTTATGGCTCCATTCAAAGTGGAGCATAATGTTCTCCTGGTGTTCTGGCCAGCATTCTGCTTTTCCAGCACTGCCAAAAAAGTTCTTCTACCAGGTCGTTTTATTTGTTGTTTATGGGAACTCAGTTGTAGATTGTTTGTAGTATTTTCTGATATCAAAAATAATTGCACTTCAGAATTAGCAAGGTGTAGAGCTGGATGAACACAGCAGGCCAAGCAGCATCCGAGGAGCAGGAAGGCTGACGTTTCAGGCCTAGACCTATCTTCAGAAATGGGGGAGGGGAAGGGGGTTCTGAAATAAATAGGGAGAGGGGGGAGGCGGATAGAAGAGAAGATAGGTCAAGAGAAGATAGACAGACAGGTCAAAGAGGTGGGGATGGAGAGGTAGGGAGGAGATAGGTCAGTCCAGGGAGGATGGACAGGTCAAGGGGGTGGGATGAGGTTAGTAGGTAGGAGATGGGGGTGGGGCTTGAGGTGGGAGGAGAGGATAGGTGGGAGGAAGGACAGGTTAGGGAGGCGGGGACGAGCTGGGCTGGTTTTGGGATGCGGTAGGGGAGGGGAGATTTTGAAGCTTGTGCAGTGCACATTGATACCATTGGGCTGCAGAGTTCCCAAGTGGAATATGAGTTGCTGTTCCTGCAACCTTCGGGTGGCATCGTTGTGGCACTGCAGGAGGCCCAGGATGGACATGTTGTCTGAGGAATGAGAGGGGGAGTTGAAATGGTTCGCGACTGGGAGGTGTAGTTGTTTAGTGCGAACCGAGCGTAGGTGTTCTGCAAAGTGGTCCCCAAGCCTCCGCTTGGTTTTCCCGATGTAGAGGAGGCCACAACAGGAAGAGCGGACGCAGTATACCACATCAGCAGATGTGCAGGTGAACATCTGCTTGATGTGGAAAGTCTTCTTGGGGCCTGGGATGGGGGTGAGGGGGGAGGTGTAGGGGGAGGTGTAGCACTTCCTGTAGCACTTTCTGCTTTGCAGAACACCTATGCTCGGTTCACACTAAACAACTGCACCTCCCAGTCGCGAACCATTTCAACTCCCCGTCCCATTTCTCAGATGACATGTCTATCCTGGGCCTCCTGCAGTGCCACAACGATGCTACCCGAAGGTTGTAGGAACAGCAACTCATATTCCGCTTGGGAACCCTGCAGCCCAATGGTATCAATGTGGACTTCACAAGCTTCAAAATCTCCCCTCCCCCTACGGCATCCCAAAACCAGCCCAGCTCGTTCCCACCTCCCTAATCTGTCCTTCCTTCCACCCAACCCCTCCTCCCACCTCAAGCCCCACCCCCATCACCTACCAACCTCATCCCGCCCCCTTGACCTGTCCGCCCTCCCTGGACTGACCTATCTCCTCCCTAACTCCCCACCTACGCTCACCTTTACTGGCTCCATCCCCGCCTGTTTGACCTGTCTGTCTCCTCTCCACCTATCTTCTCCTCTATCCATCTTCTATCCGCCTCCCCCTCTCTCCCTATTTATTTCAGAACCCCCTTCCCCTCCCCCATTTCTGAAGATGGTTCTAGGCCCGAAACGTCAGTCTGCCTGCTCCTCTGATGCTGCTTGGCCTGCTGTGTTCATCCAGCTCTACACCTTGTTATCTCAGATTCTCCAGCATCTGCAGTTCCTACTATCTCTGCACTTCAGAATTGCCTGTTTCTCCATTTCTTGAGGAAATGGAGGGATGAGGATGAATTTCCTTTCTTATGTGTGTATTAACTATCTGAACTAATTTTGCTGATAGTAATTATTGTTTGGTTTTTCACAAAGAATGCTTAAAATGATGCCACATTTACCAAGGGTGGCTTTGCTGCATGACAGCTGACTGAGCTGGTTGAGTAATAGAGGACATAGCTGTATCAGCAAGAGTGACCACCACAGTACTTGTGAAGACAAAAACCCACTTTCACATGGAGACACCCTTCATTAGAACTACCGTCGTGCTAAATGGGATAGGTTGTGAACTAATCTAGCAAATCCAGACTAAGCATCCGTGAGGCACTGTGGGCTGTAATGATACTCCAGAATAGAATAGCCTTTATTGTACTCCCAATGCAATCTACAACTTGATGGCCTAACACATCCAACACTCTATCATTACCGTCAAGTCAGGAGATTAGCTCTGTTCAGTTAAGAGTGCAGAGGACATCCAAGAGTAGCACTAGACATGCCTAAAAATGAGGTGACAACCTGGTAAAGCTATAATTCGGGACTACCTTTGTGAACGTATCATAAAAGCAGCAAGTGGCAGACAAAGTGATTCACAACCCACAGATTAGATCCTACCAAATCTAGTTATGAATGGTGGTGGACAATTAAACAACTCACTGGAGAAAGGGCCTTCACACATGTATCTATCTTCATTAATAGGGGAGCCCAGCAGATCAGAGCAAAAAAAAGGCTAAACCATTTGCACTGAGTTGACAGACATGGTGGCCCCTTCCTGAGGTACCCAGTATCATGGATGTCAGCCTTCATCCAAATCGATTCACTACATGTACTATCAAGTAATGGCTGAAGGCACTGCATACTGCAAAGGCGATGGATCCGGACAACAATACTGAAAATTTGTGCTCCAGAATTAGCTTTTCTAGTATGGTTACAACATTGGCATCTACCTGACAATGTGAAAAGTGTCCCCAAATATGTCCTGTCCACAAAATAAGTGACAAGTCTTACCCAACTAATAATTGCACTTATTGTTTTCTAATGACAGTAGACTGATACAAGGTATCATTGACAGTGTTATCAAGAGACAGTTACACAGTAATAACCCTATCACTGATAATCAGGTTAGATTCTGTCTGAGATAGTAATTTTCTGAAGAAGGGTTCCGACTGTTTTCCTATTCCTCTAATGCTGCCTGGCCTGCTGTGTTCCTCCAGCTCCACACTGTGTTATCTAGATTCTGTCTGACCTTATTTTAACCTTGGTCTAAACATGGAAAAGGGTTGAACTCCAGGCTGACTGTCTTTGGCATCGACACATTATTTGACTGAGTATGCTATAAAGGACCTTCAGCAAAACCGAAGTTGATGAAAATTGAGAGGAGAACTGCTCTAGTAGAAGTCATAGGAAAGCACAAAGGAAAGTTGTTGGAGGCTAATATTATCAGCCACAGGACATCATGTAAAAATTCCTCAGGAAATCAAGAGATTTATGACTCGTTACAAAATTTTCTCTCATCTCAATTTTAAATGATCAACTCCTTATCTGAAACTATACCTTCTAGTTTTGCACTCTCCAGCCAAGGAAAACATTTTTAAAAATGGTTACAGCACTGAAGGCAGCTATCCTGTGTTAAACTTGGGTGTTTGTGACTGCAGGTAGCTGATATGCATATTAAACCGTTCATAAGGAATTTTAAGATGGTTTTTTAAGTTCGTTGGGAAGCATCTGTTTAGATATGTATTAGTTAGGCAAAAAAACTGTGACAGTTGAGGATGAGTCAATAGAGCATGAATGGGCATGGAGTGTGCTGATCTCATTAAAGTTATGAAGGCAGCATCCTCTCTAGCTGACGTACTGCGGAACTTTCCCTAGATCTTCCTCCAATCTCTTCTAGTTCACCTTCCATTTGAACAAGACTGCTACCTGACAAGGACTTGCCCCTACAAGTGAAACCTCCTACAACACAAATAAAGGTAAAGTTGCCATTGTCCTTCTAGACTATACGGCCACTGTCTCACTGCGGGGAGAGCACTGGAGGGTGTTTTAACCTGAGGGTCATCACACCTTGGACAAGGGATGGGGTTGAGAAAGGGAGTACTTCATGGTAACCTCAGCCAGTGCAGGAATTGAATGCTTGTTGTTGGCGTCAATCTGCATAACAATCTAGTCCTCTAGCCAACTGAGTAACTAACCCACAAAATACAAGAAAAATCAATTTTAAAGTAGTCCCAATTTCCAACATTACCCCCTTTGAGAAGAAAATAGCTTTATTTACTTTCCACAATTGAATTCTTAACCTATCTATTTCTAAAGTACAAGTTTGGTTCCCTAATGTCTCAATTTTATAGCAGACAGTATGCTGCCCTTGATTGTCTTCTGCCCCTGAGCACTTTGTTTCCTACTTGCGCAAACATTTCTTATTTGTGTACTTATCTAAATGTTTTTTAAACGTTGTAACTACCCACTTCCACCACTTCCTCTGGAAGTTGATTCCACACACAAAACACTCTCTGTAAAAACAGTTGCCTCACATGTCTTTCATAAATCTTTTTCCTCTTGTCTTAAAAATGTGCCCTCTAGTTTTGAAATCCCCAATCCGAGGGAAAGGACACCTGCCATTCCCATTATCTATACCCCTCACAATTTTATAAACCTCTGTAGGGTCACCCCTCAGCCCCCTATGCTCCAGTGAAAAAAATTCCAGCCTATCTAGCCTCCCCTTTTAACTCAAACCCTCCGTTCCTAGCAACATCTTGGTAAGCTCTTCTGAACTCTCTCCAGCTTAATATTATCCTTATTATATCAGGGTGACCATAAGTGGGACACAGTACACCAGAAGTAGCCTCACCAATGTCTTGTACAATTCCCTGTAGTAGAGAATTCCACAGGTTCACCACTCTGGGTGAAGAAATCTCTCTGTCCCAGTCCTAAGAGGGCTACCTTTCATCCTTAGACTGTGACTCCTGGTTCTCGACTGCCCAGTCATCAGGAACATCCTTCCTACATCTGCCCTCTCTAATCATGTTAGAACTTTATAGATTTCTATGAGACACTCACACACACACACTTAGACACACACTTCTAACTGATCTAGTCTCTCTCCATATACCAGTCCCACCACCGTGCAATTAGGAAGTGTCCTGTTGGCTTATTTATTGTACATGTAAGAACAATGTCATGAAATCTCATGTTTCTTTTATCCATTAATGGGATGTGGACATCTTTGGCTTGGCCAGCTTTTACTGCCCACCTCCAGCTACCCTTGAGGTGCTGTGCTGAACTGCTTTCTTGAATCACTGAAGTCCATTTGGTGATACACCCACAGTGAAATGAGTTGAATCCAAGTCTTGACGTTTGGTAGACCCTAGCGGAACAACAATAATTCATGAATGCAACATAAAACCCTGGAGTTATCTCTTAGCTGACCTTTCTGAAGCATTTATGTATTGAGGTTGAGCTTTCTCTGCACCTTCTCTGTAACCATAACACTATATTTTGCATTCTGTTCTATTACCCTGTTCTATTACCTTATGTAAGTTATGATTTGCTTGGTAGCATGCAAAAAAATTACTTTTCACTGTACCTCAATAAATTAAATCAAATCAAATTTGACACCCATGCCATATTTTCTAGTTTGAAATGCTACGCAAAATGCAGTAATCCATCTAGGATGCCCAATACTCTATCATTGTGAAAAACAATGGATAGATTTGTCTTAGCTCACGAAATGCACCCGGCTTGAGGATCACAGAACAGAGCAACCTGCCAGCTAAGACCACTTGACAAGCCAGTAAATGTTTCTTCAAATTAGTTCCAGTCATGCCACTATACAGTATTGATGTCCTCGTGAATCACAGTACAGTCCTCATTTGGGGCCATACCTACCTGTTCCGTTAATGCCAACCATGTCTTCAGCAGTAGCTTCTACTCCCTGATATGATCACTTCCGAATTACCTTGAGACTCTGCTTCTGTGTCCTTATTTTTGTTTTTCTGCTCTATTTCTCACTGATGTAATCTGTTGATAGTTGGTGTAAGTTTCTGTTCAATATGATACTCAGCTGTACCTGAAAAACCTAAGTCCAGCTGCAGATTCCTCGAGCTGAAGATGGGAAAGCTATAAGTGTGGCTTCTATCAAAAACTGTCTCTTCCCCTTCTTATCTAACTACTCCAACCTGATTATCCAAGAGGAAGAAAGCTTGCAGGTCCAGCATATACACAGGAAATACTAGAAAAATCAGTTTTAGAGGGGCTCAATTTGCAACAGTCAGTCTTTTTGAGAAGGCAATAGCCTTATTTTCTTTCCAGTTCTTAACCTGTCTATTTCTAAAGTAAAGTTTGGTTCCCTAATTTCTTGATTAAGTACAGATGTAGACATACTAAAGCTATTAGAACCATTATTATCAGGCTTTGGCAGGTAATAATCCACAAAGCTAACATCCTCAACCAAGACGTTTGACTGATGTTATATACCAGGTACGTTCTTCAAGCTTTTGAATTTCTTGTTCTAGTTCTGCATTCCACTGGACCATCTTAAATGAGTCTTTTTCTGAAGTATTGGCCCTGTCATGTCTGATTTGAAGTTTAAAGATGATGGGAATTAGTGATCAATTTGAGAGATGGCCTTAAGGGCCTCCTTGTAAAATCTGGTATTTATTTTCAGTTCTGTGTTGTTAAATATGAATATGAGACCAAGAAGTGACCTCACATCATACTTGTCTCAGTGGGTTTGAAGGAGAAGGTATCCTTTCATGATCGATGGGCACCGCTGTAGCTGGAGGGCATCATAAACCTGAACAATAACAATTTGTTTTAATAAACCTTTTAGTTTTGTAGGATAAGTTTCCATTTTGCCTTTTGAGTTGTTTTTGGTTTTGTCTTGGTGCCCCAGGAAGCGGGCTGTCTTATTTTCCCTTTGTTTCAATTTTTGACCCCTGGAAGACCCATGGGTTGTTATTTTATCAAGAAATGTTTATTCCATTTTTGACCACCATATTGGAGAGAGGATATCCTTTCTCTTTCCCTGAGAGACTGGTAGAAGTCATAACGGCCATTAGCTTGTGAGCTTGAGGACTTAATTTAGGTTCTTGAAATTGCTGAAGAAACTCAGCAGGTTTGGTAACATCTTTGGAGAGAAAGCAGAGTCAACATTTCAGGTCAATTTGAATGAAGAGTTTGACTCTGCTTTCTTTCCACAGATGTTGCCAGACCTGCTAAGTTTCTCCAACAATTTTTGTTTTTGTATCAATGGACTATATTGGATAAAGAAGACAGATCTGGGGGAGAATTAGGGATGAGCAATAAATGATGGCCTAGCCAGTGATAGGCATTTCCCACAAAAAAATACATTTTAAAAGTAACCCTGTGGCCTTGAAACTGCCCTGTTCTTCCTAATTCAATGCTTTCTGTTCATTAACCAATGATTCATAGTAAATGTATCACCCCAAACTTCATGAGCCCTTACCTTGATGGTAGAGTATGTGTTGATAGTAATGTTAAGGGAATGTAGTTAGGTGCTGTTGTTCGGAATGACTGTTGATGCCACATAAGTGAAAAATAACAAATATGCCAGTTGTGTGCGAAACTATTTGCCTGATAAATCTGTTAGAATTCTTTGAGGAGGTAACAAGCAAGTTAAACAAGAGAGCCAGTGGACATAGAGTCATAGGGTCATACAGCACGGAAACAGACCCTTCGGTCCAACCAGTCCATGCCGAACATAATCTCAAACTAAACTCGTCCCACCTGCCTGCTCCTGATCCAAATGCCCCTAAACCTTTCCTATTAATGTACCTACCCAAGTGCCTGGAGGAAATCCACACAGACACGGTGAGAATGTGCAAACTCCACACAGACAGTCGCCCAAGGGTGGAATTGAACCCAGGCCCCTGGTGCTGTGAGGCAGCAGTGCTAACCACTGAGCCACTGTGCCACACCCTCTGTTTTAAAAAAAAAAATGCCCCTCATGTCTTTTTTAAATCTGTCTCCTCTCACCTTAAAAATATGTCCCCTAGTCTTGAAACCCCCATCCTAGGGATAAGACAACTACCATTAACTCTATCTTTATCTCATTATTTTTGTAAACTTCTATCAAGTTGCCTCTTAACCTCCTATGCTCCAGTGAAAAAAGTCCCAGCCTATCCAGCCTTTCTTTATAACGCAAACCTTCAAGATCAATTTAGATTTCCAGAAGGCCTTTGACAAGGTGCCACACAGGAAGATGCTAAATAAGATAAGAGCCCATTGTATTAGGAGCAAAGTGCTGGCGTGGGTAGAGGATTGGCTGACTGGCAGCAGGCAGACAGGAGGGATAAAGGGGTCATAGAGTTAGACACCAAAGAAATAGACCCTTTGGTCCAGCCCGTCCGTGCTGATCAGACATCACATTCTGAGCTAGCCCCATTTGCCAGCATTTGGCCCGTATCACTGTAAACTGTTCCTATTCATGTAACCATCCAGCTGTCTTTTAAATGTTGTAATTATACCCGCTTCCATCACTTCCTATGGAAGCTCATTCCATACATCCACCAACCTCTGTGTGAACAAGTTGCCTCTCAGGTTCTTTCCGCTCTCACCTTAAACCTGTGCCCTTCTGTGTAAGAAACAAATGAGGAATTCAAGTCAGTTAAATTTACAAATGTAATCAATAATGTGTCTAATATAAATACTTTGATAATTATACTGGACTGCTGTAACTGTTTGATTTTATTTGTGTATCTGTATTGGAACAAGAAGTTCCAATTTGTCTGGAACTGTGTCTGTAAATTTTGAAAATGCAAATTCTGTTTGTTTTGTTTCAATTAATTGGATAAGCACCGTAGCGCAACTGCCCTTTTTCCTGTTGAGTAATTGCTTTCTTGATGATCTTTTATCTAGTTGACTTAAAAATGACTACTGCTGCCCGACCCACTTTTGAGCCAGCTAGAGGAGGGAAGGGAAAAGGTGAAGGAGACCTCAGTCAACTTTCAAAACAGTATTCAAGTCGGGACCTTCCTTCACATACTAAAATCAAATACAGGTTAGATTATATTATTTTGTTTTAAGTTATGTGGAAAGTTGCAGTTTGAATGAAGCGCTGTTTCCATTTCTGTTAAGGTATCAGTTTTGTTTTTAAGAAAAGTTTAGTACTTAAAATTGTAAAAGAATTTGATAGGATAGAAATGAAAATTTCCTCCCTTTGGTTGTGTTTAGAGATGAAACTTACAACTATTTGAAGTGTCCATTCAGTAGCAAAATCAGGGAGTGCTTTTTCACAAAAAATGATGATCATATCTAGTACATTCAACTATGGACATTTAGACAAATGGAACTTTAAGGATAAAGAGAGCTTTTTATCAGTTGAAAAGATTATCAAGAGATTTGAAACAAAAGTGAGTGAATGGTATTGTGGTACACATGATCTAATTAAATGGTCATTTTACAACTCCAACTTAACCCACTCCTCCTCTTCTCTACTTCTCCCTCACCTATGCTGGTCTGCATTACCCTTATTGGGCTTTGCATGTAAACTAAGCAATTGGAAAAC